GTCCTCCCGGCTGCAGCCATGTTCCCACTCCGACGGCCCACCCAACCCACGCCGGGGGGACCTGCCCTTCCCCAGCGGCTCCCTTGGGCGAGGCAGGCTCTGCAGCACCGCATCCCCCCTGCCCTAACAGGGTCCAGACCCACCAGGGTCACCTCAGGCTGCCCGGCAGGGATGGGTGCAAGGGGGCTGGGCAAGGAGGGGCTGTCCTGTGCGAGCCCAGCATTGCCCGTTAGCCCCACGCTGGGCAGGCGCCACTGCCTCCCTCTGCTTAGCTGCACCAAAGCATCACGCAGCAGACTTCCCGGCAGAGGAAAAATCCTGCTGGCTGCCTGCGTGGCTCCCGGTGCCCCCGCGGTGCCGTCCCAAGGTGTCCCCCAGCACTTACTGGAGAACTTGTCCCAGCGCACGGTGAAGGCAAAGGTGGGCCAGCCCCCCTCACCGGGCTGCTGCTGGGCTCCCTTCAGGGGGGAGGCGTGGGCGCAGCCACCAGCGAGGGTGACCCGCGTGAGGTATTTCCCCTGGAAGTCCCCGTCGTCCCTCACCGCCGAAATCTCCATCAGAGAGTCCTGCTCATTCCTCCACAGCCCGCTGAGCTGGCACTGAAGGGACACGGCCACGGACCCTCTGCCCCTGCACATGCTGCAGAGGGGGACCCCATCCCTCCCACCGCCCCACAGCCAGAGCCACAAGCCCTGCTGCGAGTGTGACGGCGGGGCACGGCTCTCCCTGTTCCCAGTTTGGGGAAATGCTCCCCCGGGTGCTGCTGGCTGCTGAGCAGATGGTACAGCAAGGCCAGCGTGTCCCAGCCCGTCAGCATGCATGGTACGCCCAGAGACAGACCCCCATGGGAGGGAATGCCCTGTGCATGGTGCCCCTCAGCACAGACCCCGTGGGAGGGAGTGCCTTGTGCATGGTGCCTCTGTGGGAGCAAAGCTTTGTGGAGGTGGTACCAGCTGGCTGGGCACGACCCAGAGATACCCTGCCCATTGCCTGGACTAGGTGCTTGTCCCAGCCTAAAATGGCATTTAAGAGAGAACCCCTGGCTGCCCGTGCTGCATCCCAGTGCCATGTCTGCCGCATCCCTATCATCACCTGTCCCCGTACCTTCTTCTCCGCAGGGGTGACCCACGCCACCAGGGCCAGGGCAAGGACCAGGGCGAAAGCGCCGCTCCCCATGGCTGCAGGGCTGCGAAGCATGTGGCACGGCTCCCTCCCAGCCCTGTGCCCTGGTCCCCTTTATAGGGCTGTAATTGGAGCCCCGCAGGCACCGGGCTAGCAGCCGTGGGGTGGGTGGCCTGGTGGCAGGGCGCCCAGGACAGGCGAGGTGAGGAGGTCTGTGTGACCTGGGCAGTGCTGGAGGAACGCGAGGGTGAGCACGGCTGTGGAGAGAGGTGGGGGTGCAGGGATGGTTTGCACATCCACGATCCAAGAGGCTCTGCCAGCCCATTCCTTGCTCTGCGATGGAATCCTTGGGGTGGGCACAGCCTGGCACTGCCCCCACTGCCCCGTCCCAGTGCTGTCACCCAAACAGCACTGCAGCAAGCACAGCCTGACCAGCTCTTCTCTGCTGCACTGAAGGGTGGTGTGTCTGCCCACGGGAGTTTGTCCTCGTGACAGTCCCCTCCTGTATTACAAGTTTCTGCTGTTGTTTCTAAGCTGTTTTTTCTCCTGGCTGTGCTGGGCTTTCCCTGGGTCTGGGAGCTGTGACTGTCACTGCAGCGGGAGCTCTTGGGCACCCCGGAATTAATCCCTCTTGTCAGTGCAGAAGGGCTTTTCTGGAAGACATGTAGATATAGAATTTGCTTGTCCCCGTGGAGGGGATGCCCTGTGCATGGTGCTCCCAGGCACAGACCCCATGGGAGGCGATGCTGTGTGCATGGTGCTTTGAGTCTGGGCAGGGTACAGCTACATGGCAGAGCCCTGTCTGAGCCCTCCCAAGGAGTCCCTAATGGCACAAGACTGTAACAAGGACGGGCAGGTGGGCAGGGGTCCTTGGACCACCTGGTTTTTACACAGCGACACGGCACAGCCACCTCCTCCGAGATATCTCTCCAACCAGGTGAACATGTCACTGCTGATGCTGCAGGGGAAGACAGAGCTGGCACCTGGCTGTGTCCAGTTCAGGAGGGATCTCTCTGGCCCCTGCCCTGCCCAGGAGATGAGCATCTGCTTTGAGCATCCTCCAGAGACACATCTACCCCAGGCTTGAAGACACCAGGAGGGCCACTCTCCTCTTCCCAGGGAGCAGGATGTGGTGATGCCCATGTGCAAATTGCACATTGTTTTTAATTATAAAATTATAGTAGCTGCATTCAGCTCCCATCCCAGGGACTTGCTCCAAAAGCCCTTGGGGTCCCGGCACCAATCTCTCTTGCTTGCTGCCCAGCTGGCTCCCAGCACTGGCACCCACCCCCCAGGTCTCAGCGCTCCCCCCGGGGTCTCCATGCTGCACCCATGAGTGCAGCCCCAGCATGGAGTAAGAATGGAGAAGTGCCCGGCAGCCCTGCTCTGCCCGGGGCACACCCACTGGCTTTCCAGTCATCCTCGAGGCTGTCAACCTCGTCTTGCACAATCCACGCAGTCCTCAGTATTTCCTTCCCATCCTTTCCGCGAAGCACTGGCCCATGGAGGCGGTGGTGGAGACTGCAGGGAAGGGGTGGGAGGTGGAAGAGGGTGCTGGGTTGGGGTTTTCCCTCTGTCAGGCAGACAGCTTGCCAGTTTTGGAGCAGAAAAGGCTGCTTGCGGGTGGGTGATGTTTCCCTACCCAGGCTCCTGTCCTGCTGGGACCAGGGACATGGCACTGGACAGGCATGGGATATGCAGGACGTGGGGGGATGAGCCCAGCTGAGCCCTGCCTCTCCTCGTCCTGGGCAGGACCTGCCTGGAGAAGAACCAGAGGTGGGGACCAGGAGATGCCACCAGCCATGCAGCTCTGGGGTCAAGGATGGGGGAGCATCAGGGACACCACAGGAGGGCAGGGTACCATCAAGGACACTGCAGGGGAGGGCAGAAGAGCATCAAGGACATCACAGGGAGGGCAGGGGAGGTCTGGGGACACCGCAGGGAGGGCAGGGGAGGTCTGGGGACACCACTGGGAGGCTGGGAAAGGAGAAGCACCTGAAAAGCTCCAGTTGACGGTGAAGCCAAAGGTGGGCTGGCTCTTCTGGTTCGTGTGGTGCTGGGATCCCTGCAGCGGTGACACCTGGATCTCATTTGTGGTGGCACTCACGGCCGTGTGGTAGGAGCCAGCGAAGTTGCCTTCTCCGTTCACGGCCCCGATGGTCATGTTGGAGCCCAGGTCATTCATCCAGCTCCCGGTCAGCACGCACTGGAGCGGAGGGGACTCAGCGTTGGTGCTGCAGCACAGCTCAAGTGCAGGCAGGGTGGCAGGAACGGGCACCCCCAGAAGCCACAGAAGGGAAACTGGACAAGCCACAGGTCCCCCGTCCACCCAAGAGTCTGTACTGCCAAGTGTGATGAGCTCAGCCGTGGGTTGGGGAGGCAGGTCGCATCTGGGAGGGTGTCCTGGCTCCCTGGCAGCCCCAGAGAGTTCTGGGGACCTGACCGAGGAGCTCCTCCATCCTCCCAGGATGATGGTCCACACACGGCAAGGCTGCAGCCAGAGCTGGGCAAGGAGAGAGGTGGAGGAGCAGAGCAGGTTGTGTGGTCCTGACCTGGGGGCTGGCAGGAGTGACAACCACGTGGACATGGCAGAGGGGGCAGGAGCTACGGGACTTCATTTACAAGTGCAGTTATAGGCTTGAAAATCAGATTTGTTCTTTTGTCATCACTGTGCCTGTGAGCACACCCGGACTGACCAGCCATGGAGTCCCTGAGTGACCTGGGAACCCCCTGGCTCCATCCGCTTAGGTGGGACAACAGCCAGACTGAAACAGATGTTGGGCACTGAGATGTGGGGCACTGAGATGTTCAGTGTTGAGACATTTGTAAACAGTCGTTAGGAACAGTCCCTGAAGAAATGGTTGCATAAGACAGACTTCTGCATGCGGTTAAGACATGTAAGTGCTGGAGGACCCCTGAAACAGAGACTCCTTCTCCATCCGGACAGTGACCAACTGTTTGAGGGATTTGATCCTCTATGTGAGCATGCCAAGATCCCAATAAATCAGTTTTCCTTTTTTTAACCAATACACTACGTGTGAGCACCTGTGCAACACAGACACAGCAGCAGTGATACACTGTGCGTGACTGCAAGGTGCCTCCTGCCTCCTCCTGCTCCCCGTGCCCCTGAAGGCATTCATGGTGCGTGAACGACCATGACCAAGGCTTGCCATGCAGCAGCAATGGCTGGTTTTCCTCCCAGAGGGAGGTCTGCAGCGGGGCTGAAGGGTACCCCTTCAAGGTTTTGCAGACTGCTCAAACCGTGGTCAGCACTGCCGCCTTGCTGGAGCACCCCAGGACTGCTGCACAGCCTCCAGGGAGCTCTGCCCCAGGGAAATGTTGACATGAAGGCAATAATAAAGTCAGGAGGATGCATGCAGTAAGGCTGCAGGCTTAGTGAGACGCCCCGCTGCTGAGCTGGCCACGCTTTGGGGTGAGAGCAGAGTCCTGTGGTCCCTCTGCCACCCTCTTTCCTAATTCTCAGGTTCCTCTAAAGCAGGTA